TTTGAACTCAGGGCTTCCCATATGCTAGACAGCTGCTCTACTGCTAAGTTACACCTCCAGCCCTGGGGTTTTATATATACACATACTTTCTGCTAGGCATTGTGCCTAGACAACAATCTGCCTGTTGTAGGTTTCCCCACATTGCAAGAATGACAGGTATTTGCCCAGTTGGGGGTTTGGAAGGGGGCCTCATGAATATTTCTGCCACATTGTGGCCTCCAACCACAATCCTCCCATTGTCAGCCTTTCAACTAGCTGGGATTACAGGCATGCTGGCTTGTGGATGCCTTTTATGATGTCATTCTTCCCCATTTAAACAAATAAAGAACTCTTACTTCAGAATGAGAGATAACTCTTCTCAGTTAGGGTGGCTTTAAATCTAGGATCTAATGGCTGACCAAAGGAGAAGAGCTATGCATAGAAGAGGGAAGAGGTTTATCTAATTTGCTTAGTGAAACACTACTAATTCTAGAGACTGATTAGCAAAGACTATGTCTGGAGCAATTATTGTACTGTTTATTGTCTCAAAGTACTAGTAAGACATAGAAACCACCCCTCACAAGCAAAATGCACAAGTAGGAATGTGGGCCTGGACAAGTTAGTTATGAAAAGCGTTTCATATGTGGCTAAGTGCATGCAATCCATCACCCCTAACAATATTATTGTATTCCTCTGAACTCTGCTCTCACAGGCATTTGGAAGGCAGAACCAGAATAAAGATGGGCATTCATGAAGCTAACATTTTATATTGAATACCTTTTGTACCACTTTTAATGTGCTATAAAACTATGGGCTTCACTTTTTCATGAACTGTGTGCAAAAGCAGAGGCAATGACTAGGGATTGACTTTGTTTGGGTTTGTTTTATGGTTACTGCACCCATGTAGTAATGTGATCTTGAAAAAGGTAAACAACAAAGCATTTAGCAATGAAAAATATGCCTAATATAAATAGTCAACTGCCTGGCAGTTCAGAATTTGAAAAATATGACTGTGGTATTAAATTTTCTGGTGGAATTAACAGAGGAACAGAATACAGCCTTTAAGGCAATATATCTGAGAGAGGGGAAAGGAGATAATACATCTAACTCTATGGTCTATGTGGCATTCATATAAAGGAAAGCACAGTAGCTTTATTTAATTGAGAAAATGAATCAATTACAATGATGTCGCATCATCAGATTCTTGTGAAATAGAGGATATAAGTCACTGCATTGGGTAACAGTGTTAAAAAGTAATTGAGTATCGTAAGCATTTTGAATCAATTTCAGGTACAGACAGTGCTACCTTAATACAAAATTTATGAAGGTGATTTCATATAATGTGTTATGATCATTCTGTGCAATAAAACCTTGTAAAAACATATCTTTCTACAAACCTGGGCCAAACAGGATAGTTATAACAAAATAAAAATGGCTTTGATTGCTTCTTCCCTCTCTATTGTAATATAAAGAGCAAACATTAAAATAGTACAATTTTAAGTTGTCTTTAAGTTATTCTGCTTTTAACCCATAGAATAGGCAAGGTAAGGATCTTTAAGATCTTCATTTAGGGAGAAATTAATTTCATTCACAAAACTCACATTACTGGGGACAGCAGCTCATAAACTATTTCTAATTTGTTTGTGAATGTGTGTGCATGGTGCACGTACCAGTAATGGAGCTCTACTTCTGACATTTTGCTATTTAATTGGAGGTGGTAATCTCTCAGATTTGGCTTTAAACTTTGAGATCTCAACCTCCAGAGTAGCTAGGATTATGGGTCTGAACCACTCACCATGCCTGAATTCATTTCAAAATATATTTTAAATTTTTTGTCACTTGTTTTTCTTAGAGAATGGAAATTTGTGAAAAACATTCTTATTGGTACAAACATGTATTTATAATTCTTTGTTACAAAGAACTCTTCTATAGAAGTAGAGACATCTAACTATGTCTGGGAGGTGAGAAGACCTATGCTTAAAAAAAACAAGTAAATGTATAATAAATGTGTCATATCAATGGAATTACCTAGGCTTTTCAAGATTTCCCTTAAGATAGTGGTGGTAAACAGCTCTGCCACCACTCTTTACCTGTGAAGTCTTGTCTGGAAGTCTTATTGGCTGGAAGAACTAGAAGGAGCAGTGATCCAGGCATCATTGAGCAAGAATTATCAGGGTAGACTTCACTTGTCCAGGTTTAGTATGGCAGTGGAGGTGATGGTTGGGAGGCATGGACAGTGGAGATAGTATGGGAAAGCACCTTTTCAAGCACTCAGCAGCCAGACTTGGTGGCACACAACAGTAATCTTTTTTTTTTTTCTTTTTGAGTTATCTCTTTTTTGAATTTTTAAATTCTTGTTATAAAGCTGATATACAGAGAGGTTACAGTTACATAAGTCAGGTAAAGAATACATTTCTTTTTCAACAATGTCACCCCCTCCCTCACTCTCCCGGTTTTTCCTTCCTGTCCCCACACACAAGTTGTATAGTTCATTTTCAACATAGTGTCTAGTGAGTACCATTGCTACATTTGTTAACCCTTTGTCCCTCTATTGCTGTGTCTCCTCCTACCCTTCCAAAGACAGATAAATAAACAATACAATTACAAAGAAAATAAAAACAGCAAGGAAGGAAATAAACCTTGTTTCCTTTTCCTGGAGTTTATTTCCATATTATTTTATATGATCAGATGTACATAGGCATTGTACCTTTGTGTTCCTCTCCTAAGAATGTCCTCTTTGGTCTCACTGACACACCTGTAATCTTAGCCATAAGGAAGCCCAGTGCCAGTGGCTCACATCTATAATACTAGCTACTCAGGAGGCTGAGATCTGAGGATCAAGGTTCGAAGCCAGCCTGGGCAGGAAAGTCTGTGAAACTTTTACCTCCAATAAACT